GGCCCCGGGATCCATGTTCTTAATCACTTCTTTATCCTGCCTCCCTGATGCTTCTTTCAAGTCAAACAAGTGAATACACCTGAAAATGCTCTGCAAACCATAAAAAGATACATTTATTATTATTATTATTAGTTTGCCTCTCAGCATCCACTGACCCTCCCTAATTTCTGTGCTTCTGGTGGGAACCATTCCCCGCTGTCATCAATCAGTGCTTGAAGAGGTGCTCACCTCAGACACTATGTGTGAAGCATATGACCTGGGCAATCCAGTCAGGATGGGCCCATGTCCCTGGCCACAGTGACTGGTCCAGCGCTAGGCACCAGACCAAAAACGTCGTCTGTGCAGTGCCTTGGATGGTCACTGCAACGACGTCAACCTGAAGCCGCTGGAGGTCTCACCTGTAGCCCAAGAACATGCAGCCAAGAATGATCCTCATAACATTGTTTGGATTCCCAATCTGGCCCTTCCTGAAGTCAGATCCATCTCTAGACTTTCAACCACCTGAACCAATAAACCTTTTTATTTAAGATAGTTTGAATTGGGTTTTCTGTTACTTGCAACCAAGAGAATCATTCTGATCTCTTTCTAAAACACGTTTCGCTCTATCAAGCTATATTCAGCTGCACTTCAGTCCTTTCCCTCTCCGAAAATAAAACTTGAGAGACTGAGAAAGTGAATGTTAATTAGCTAGCCTTGACAAATTAAACACTCCTGGAGCTGGAGTTCTTGACAGAAGAACTCCATATTATGTAGAATAGAAGATCCAGTTTTTTTTAATGCCACAGATCAAGTGTTCTGGCCTATCATCAAATTTGTTTCATAAAACTTTATTTTTAACCAAAGCAGTTAAGCCTGCAGTTTTCAGCTCTGCAAGGAAAACAACTATGATATTTACTTCCTCTCAGTCTTCTCATTTTTCAGTTACCCCTAAATCCAAACCACTACAAAAAATTACTAAAATGAAGAATAAGATTGAGGTTTTTAAAAACATTTTAAACACAAGAAGCAGAAAGTTGTGTATGGGTGTATATATCATTTCTTCCTCATAAAGAAGAGGAACTAAACCTTAACCTTATTTATTAATTTTGCCAACAGAAGAAATCAGTACTAGTTTTAACCATATTCATTGAACTGTTCATTGCACCAGCTAACATTCCTTCCCTATAGTTCCTTCAGACAAATCCTCATAATTAGATTTCAGAGGAAAGCACACATTGGTCGCCCAGACCACAGCCTCAGAAGGTGCAAGCAGCGTGACACTTGACATCAGATGGCTCCTAAGGCAGTGTATAAACACTGTCAGGACTTTGTGCGTTTTCACATCTTCAAATTATTACACACAGCTAAATAACGACGGTGACAGGTCAGTCATAGCCCCAGTGTCCACCCGAAAAGCATAGATGAGCATATATAAAAATGCTAATTGAGTGAAAATGATGTTAAAAACCAGTTTCACACTCCTTGGAGAAAATTTAAAAATATTTCTCTATTTTCTATGTTCATTACATTGCACTCTACAGCCTCCTATTAAGAAGAAACAAACTTTAATGACCTCGAGTAAGCAAGCAGATAAGCATACCAACAAAGATACATTTGTTTAACTACATTCCAAACTTTATTACCTTGTGTGCTGTTCTTTCTGCTGAGGCTTATTTTTTCTTATTATCATGGCCTAAGACTGAAGGTCTGCTTGGCTTGCTTTGGTAAGCTCTTCAAAGATCACAGCCCTATCCAGACAGGCTGCTTTCAAACAATCTTTGTTACAACATGTAAACAATTAGGACCTCTAAACACATAATTATTTATATGATATCATACAACATACTTTTTTATAACTGAATTAACCATTAGATTACACAGAGTAAGTGTTCATCAAATTTATAAAATTAACAAAAATAGCCGATATATTAGTTTAAATTTGAGGATTTTGTAAATCTATTTCCATATTACACTTTTGTTCTGATTCACAGAAAGCACAACCCTACAATGGAACTTCAAGTTCACAGGGGTCTCTGTAAAGCCCACAAGGGCAAGAACCATATCTGACTATCACCATTTCACGCCTGACGTACAATAGGCACTCTGTAAATATCTGTTGGATAAATAAACGAATAAATAAAGGTATTAACACTAAAAGTAATGGGCTCACACTATTTCATGACTACAGAGGTTATTATCACTATGTCCTTGCTTTGATGAAGTAAAGCAGGAGTTGACAAACTTTTATGCAAAGGGCCAGATGGTAAATATTCTAGCCATTGTGGCCCATATGGTCACTGTTGCAAATGCTCCACTCAACCTCTTTCACAACTATTCAACTCTGCTCTCGTAGCACAAAAGCGGTCATAGACAATACATACACAAATGAGCACGACAGTGTTCAAATAAAACTTCATTTATAAAAACAGAATTTGGCCATAAAAACACCCAAATCCCATGGGAACCACTTTCTTATAATGAACACTCTATTCCCTGAAGGGTGGACATTGGTGGATTTGCTAAATTCAGCCAGACATGTTCTGTTTTGTTGGGTCAAAAATTGGGCAGGGCATATATACTCATTCCCCACAGCTCCATCACTCCTTACTGAGCAACCCCGCCCCCTACTAATTTCCGTCATGTTGCAAGCCTGGCCCATGCAAGCCTTTGAGTTTACATCCTGAACTTTACAGTACAACTGGTTTCCAGCGATGTGGCCCATACCTGTACCTATGAAACTGTAACCACAACACAGGCTCCTCAAGAGCAAGCCCATGACTTGCAACTCTTCACCCTTCATCTAACACCTAATGTCAACACCCAATGAACTTTAAATATTTACTGATTGCCTACTGTTTGATATAGTTACTGTCTCCTTGGAGGGGGTGCAGAAAGACTTACAATGACAGACAAAAGGATGGAAAAAACGTGCCAGCTGAGAACAAAGAGAAAAGGGACATGGTGAGTCACAGGAAAAGCAACAGGAATCATTACAGGACTGAAAAACCAATCTCTTCCAACTGTGTCTCAACCTTCTATCGGCTGCCGGGATTCCTCCTTTGTATCACAGCAGAAGCTGGGCAGAGGCTGGACAACTCGGGACACTTCAACGGTAACCACAATGAGGATAAAACCTTGGTTAATCCTCATTTCTGCCACAGGGTGCTCTGAGTGGATGAGCCCAGAAAAATCACCTGCATCTAACAGAAGGAATAAACTGCTGGATTCTCACACAATGGTATGCTCTACAGCAATGAAAATGATCAATCTACAACTACATGCAACAATACGGAGGAATCTTTCTAATACATTGTTGAATGAGGAAAGTCAGACACAGAAGAGTACGATCTGCATTATACACACACACACACACACACACACACACAGAGAAAGACAGGCAAACTAATTTATGCTCCTAGAAGTCAAGAGAGTAATTACCCACCGAGTGGGTAATGTCCGGAATCTAGTGTCTAGAGGAGGCATGAGGCTGTGGGGAGAATGTTCTGTTTCTTGATCTGGGTTCTGGTTACATTAGTGAGCTCAGTTTGGAAACTGCATTGAGCTATACACTTACAGTATGCGTATTTTCTGTATATATATTCTATTTCAATAGAATGTTTAAGAAACAAACACTCCCCCATTTCTAAGTGGTCCAGGACTAGAGAGCCAACTGAAGGCCGCACACAGAGCCCCATATGCCTTCCCTTCCGCCATCCTGCAGAGCCTCTGGCCTCATGTGGAGCCCCAGGCACGCCTCCTCATTTTTTCTAAGCATAACCAGATAGAGGCCAAACAGTGAGAAAGCAAACTAGATCATTTTGAGATACCTGTAATTCCAGTCCCAGCGTCTTCGGAAAGTTAGTGTCTTTCAGAAACTTTACTGCTGTCACTAACTTTTTGTTCTAAATCAGAAATGAAAATACTAAGACGACTCTGCTGCCCTAAATGGCTCACTTAAACAGACTTCTTTTAAAATAACGCTCTAAATGGGTAAATCTAGTTCATAAACATGAACGAAGAAATGCTGCAACACTCAGGGCCTCCAGAAGAAGATACGGTAAACAAAATGTAACTGAGATTAGAATGTAGAACAGCAACAGCAACCCTGCAAGCACCACAGAGCTGTAATGACCGACTGTGTAAACGGCCCTCATGGGTAATACTTACAACTACAGTCCAAGCTGAACACACATCTTTAAGACTTTATGTAAAGTTTCGACTCAGGTAGTCAAATTTTGGGGCTGGGAATCATTCTGATTCTCTCTAATGTTGATCTTAATACACTAACCTCAACTGGACATTACCACTCATATTCTTTTCCCATTCTCCTTGTAAGTGCAGGCTAAAAAAATCAATTAAGACCTTTGATCACATTAAATCACAGAGACTGGTCTACTTGTGAATGCTGGTCAGGAAGGAGGGAAGAGTAGTCATCAGATCCTCTGACCTAACAATAAACATCAGCTACAGCGGGCCAGATGGGCAGATTACCAGGAACAGAGAAAGCACAGTAATCCTCTCTTATACAGGGCACACGCGTGTAGTGCAAATTCCAATCCTTCATGTCCAGATGTTTTCCATATCAAACAAATTCACTATATAGGTCTGTCCATTAAGTAAGTCACTGTTTAAATATTTTTTAAATCTGACCTTATTTATATCAGCCAGGAAGGGAACATAAATTCAAAATTACATCTTTTAATAGGAAACTGTAACTGTGTTTAATTAAATGATTCTGTCATGGAGTTTATGAATGTTCCAAAATGTCCCTCAGGGGAGAATATTCTTATTTTTAGGAACTGCATCCCCAAGAATTGAGGATAAAATGTCATGATCTCGTCAACTTACTTTCACATGTTTCAGCAGAAAACAGTAGAAACCTACTACACACACACACACAGGTACACACAATGTGGCAGAATGCTAACAACTGTTAAATGTAAACTCACTGTCCATTTTTTAACTCTTCAGTATGTTTGAACATTTTTATAATAAAAAGACGCACAGAAATCTTTACTCACCTTTCAAGTGGATGGCTGTCTTCTTTTTCCTAATCAAAAACGAATGGCTAAATATGCCCAGAGGCACATTTATGGATGTTCATGCTGTCCTCGCCCTGCAAGAATAAGCAAAACACGTTACCACCAAAGGTTTTTATTAAGTTAATGCCATTTCAGTTGAGACAGTGTTAATATATGTCAAGCCTGTAGGTTAAAATTCTGTTGAAACTGTTTTTTAAGCAAGGAGAAAAGTGAAAAGAGAAAAAAATAATCCCATCACGTACTGAATGTAGGGAACAACCACTGGCCTGACCCACTCAAGGAACTTCTGGAACAAAGGAATTCCTCAGTAAGTTTCTTTTAATTCACATAAATTTCAGGGCAGTGATGCAGCCTAAACTTCCACATGAACAAAAACTGGGGCTTCAAGGACCGGAGCTTGACTCTGACCTTGGATTCTGAGACTACACTTAGAAGGCACTCATGTACCCTCACAGAACCACACCAGACATGCTGCTCCACTCGACTATAATACGTACTCTAGGGCACAGTGGCCCGAGGGCCTGATGGCCTCCACCACACCTCACCACACCTCACAGCCCTGTGAGGCAAGCGGTGTTTACTGATTCCATTTTCCAGAGGAGGCAGCTAAGTGTCAGAGATGATATAGGACATTCAAAACATCAGACATGAAACTGCTACTTAGGTCTTCTGACCTCAAGCTCAGGGCTTATCTCACTAGGAAAGGAGAAAGCACAGTACTTATATCAGCTAGGAAGGGAACATAAATTCACAGGCCGTCCCCACGCTCCCTACCCCATAACATGACACCCTCCTGAAAACCAACCTCAAAGCCAAACAGCCAAACAACACAGCCGCATGTCATTGTGGGGAAGGGGCGGGGAGGGGGGGAGGGGCACGCACACACTGCAGTTTACTCCCTGAGAGTATATATTAATAATCATTCTTAATAGTACCAATAATACTATAATTATGATTACTAATTACTATAATGACTATTAGTCATTATACTTCCCTTTGAAACACAATAACCCTTAATGTATGTTTGACATTTTATATATATGTATTTCATTTTTCTCCCTTCTTTCTCAAGAAAGCACGCTATTGGCCAAAGAAAGTAAAACAAGGCTCACATGGCACCCCAGGTAATTTTTATCGCTGCCACACAGAAAGGCAATTACCACTCGCTGTTGAAGATTTTCCATTCATTTTTATAAAAGGCAAAATACAACAGAATATAATGGCACAGACACTGACTGCTCTGCCAATAAAGATGGAAGCAGCATCAAAACTACCCTGCATGATGGCCTGAAGTTGCCCTTCATCTGCTGATCACCAAAATTCTGCACACAATGCGCAAAGGTTTAGAGGTCTTGATGTCTACCATGTGAAGATGCTGGTGTACAAAAGTCTGAGGAAAGCTAGTCAGGGACCCCTGCACCTGGCTTTTAGTCCTGTCTCCTCCGCTCACTAGCTTGATTAAAAATTGAGAAAACCTCTGGACTTCCCTGGTAGCACAGTGGTTAAGAATCCGCCTGCCAATGCAGGGGACACGGGTTCGAGCCCTGGTCCTGGAAGATCCCACATGCCGCGGAGCAACTAAGCCCGTGCGCTACAACTACTGAGCCTGTGCTCTAGAGCCCACGAGCCACAACTACTGAGCCCACGTGCCACAACTACTGAAGCCTGTGCGCCTAGAGCCCATGCTCCGTAAACAAGAGAAGTCACCGCAGTGAGAAGCTCGCACACCGCAACAAAGAGCAGCCACTGCAACAAAGAGAAAGCCCGCGCGCAGCAACGAAGGAAGACCCAACGTAGCCAAAAATAAATAAATTATTTTTTTTAAGTATTAAATTATTTTTTTAAAGTATTAAAAATTGAGAAAACCTCTCCAGGCAGCTACCTCTCCTGTGGGTTGGAACACCTGTTCACAAGGATATTGCAACTCACAAAAAAGATAGGATATGATTCACCAACAAGAGCACTTGGACCCCAGGAATACTGACCAAGAAGTTACGCCAACAGCAACACAAAACCAAGGGAAAAAACATGATGTATCTTTGGAAACATCAACTTTACTCACGGATTTTGGTGAGGGAAAGATAAGCAAGTGAATCAGTAATATTAAAGCTGTTAATATTGAAACAGATATGCATTATGGAGTTGAATGCAATCATTGTATGAATTCTTTTATATTTATTTATTTATTTATTTTGGCTGCGCCGGGTCTTAGTTGCAGCACTCAGGATCTTCATTGCCGCGTGTGGGATCTTTTAGTTGAAGCATGCGAACTCTTAGTTGCGGCATGCGGTATCTAGTTCCCCGACCAGGGATCAAACCCGGGCCCCCTGCACTGGGAGTGTGGAGTCTCACCGCCCTGGACCACCAGGGAAGCACCCATTGCATGAATTTTAAAGCCAAAACTCCTATCCTTACTTGCCTAGTTCATTTCCAGCCACACCCTTACATGCGGGGGAAGGGAGTGAGGGATGGAATCTCCTTTTTCATTAAAGATGGTCTTGGGACAACGTGTGAAGCTGGTAGGCGTTTTAATATCACAGTGCGTCCAGGAAGCTCCCAATAGCCCCTGCTTTGGAGAATTCGCTTCAAACTCAGGAGCCCCAGATTTTTGCCAGATCTAGGTATAGGTGGGATGAAGTCTAGATACATACAATCCCATCTCTATACCACACGTCCTGGTGTGAGTGTTACTGAAGTTCCTCTCTTCACTGCCCTTCCACCCGCTCCCTGCCCCTTGGACATTCCCGTCAGGCAGGCTCCGCCACTTAGTTACTCAGATTAAACCACTGACTTTTCTTCCAACCCATACTGATTGGTAACACCTTCAGCATCTCTAGTAATTTTCATTTGAATGGATGCCTACATCATTCCTAAAGAAAAATAAGCTGACCAATTTAGTTTGTCTCTAAATTAAAACTTTTATTGTGAAATATATTTAAAAGTGCTGGACTTCCCTGGTGGCGCAGTGGTTAAGAATCTGCCTGCCAACGCAGGGGACACGGGTTTGATCCCTGGTCCGGGAAGATCCCACATGCCACGGAGCAACTAAAACCATGCACTGCAACTACTGAGCCTGCGCTTTAGAGCCCGTGAGCCACAACTACTGAGCCTGCCGTGCCAACTACTGAAGCCTGCGTGCTCTAGGGCCCACATGCCACAACTACTGAGCCCGCACGCCTAGAGCCCGTGCTCCGCAACAAGAGAAGCCACCGCAATGAGAAGTCCACGCACCGCAACGAAAAGTAGCCTTCACTTGCCGCAACTAGAGAAAGCCCGTGAGCAGCAACAAAGACCAAACACACACAATAAAAAAAAATTTAATTTAAAAAATAAAAGTGCCTACCATGGTAGCCAGCCTCCCAGATGGCCCCCAATGACCCCTGCCTCTTGGCACTCAGGCTCTTGTGAAGTACCCCCAACACACACACACACACACACACACACACACACACACACACACACTGAATAGGGCTGGCATGTGTGGCTAATAGGATATTGGGGAAAGGATGGGGTGTGACTTCAAAGGCCAGGTCCAAAGAGCAGCTTCCCTCTCACTGCCTTGGCAGGGAAACCTGCTGCCACGTCATGGTCATGAGGACACTCCAGCCGCCCTAGAGGGAGGCCCACGTGGTAAGGACTGAGGCCTCCTGCAACAGCCAGGTGAGTAAGGCTTCTGAGAAGCAGATCCTCCAGGCCAGGCAAGCCTTCAGACGATGGCTGCTTCCACTGACATCCTGACTGCAGCCCCATGTGACCTTCCCCTGGTTAGAACCATCCAGCGAAGCTGCTCCTGGTTTCCTGACCCACACAGACACTGTGTGAGATGATGAAGATTTATCACTTTTAAGCCACTAAATTTTGAGGTAACTTGTTATGCAGTGATAACTAATATAATAACATATGTCAGCTTAAAGAATAATAAAATGAATCCCATGTATGTTAATACCCAGTTGGTGGTGCTAGGTTCTGTTTTGACTTTTGTTTAAAACAAACAAAGAAACAAAAGGCCTGTGTACCCCTTCCTGTACCTCAACCCCTCCACTCTCCCCACCAGAGATAACCACAGGCCTGAATCTTGAGTCAATCCTTTCCTCCTCTGTATGGTTTTACCACATCTGTATTCTCAATATGCTGTTGTGTTCTGCCTGGCTTTAAGCCTAATACAAAGGAAACCAGGACTGTATGTATTCCAGACTCGCCTCTTAAGATTTTGATTTTGAGGTTCATCCCTGTTGACTCATGTGACTGTAGCTGATTTTTCACCACCATATAGTTCTCACTATGTGAACATACCCACAATTTACTGCTCTGTTCTACTGTTAAGGATCATCTGGGGATTTTTCAGTTTTTGCTGTTATGAATAATGCTGCATTTATATTCTACTGCTCATCCCCCGGTGCACACAGCAAACTTCTCCAGGGCGTATACCTAGGAGAAGAGAGCTGGGCTTGGGACCACATATGTTCGTTCAACTCTCCTCGGTAATGCCAGATCGTTTTCCAAAGTGGTTACGTACAATTGACTCTTCAGCCGCTTTTCCAGTCTCTCTCCACATAAGAGGCATGCCTGTTTTGCTAATTACCAGCAAAGCTTTCAACCAACAAAAGGGAAAGCTTTTCCTATTTGCAGCATCACCGCTGCAAATAAATAGTACTCCAAAGTAGTGACCCAGACAGCTGGAACATATTAGTCACAGGACATCGGGACAGACTTCGGAATAAGGATGCAGACTCAGCCAGCACCACGTTGCCCACGGGTTATCAGTCAAATTTGACTTGTAGACCTACGCTCAATTCAGAGACTGCTGTCCTCCTGGTGGACTCACAGCTATGGTCCCCTCTTACGGCAGTCAACTTGAAGGGGAAAAAAAGTTAATTCAAATGCAACCCAGCCAAATTCAAGATTAAAGAAGGGGAGTCAAATCATTTCAATGAAATAGGGTGTTGTTGTTGTTTTTTTAATATAGAATTGGTTGTGTTTTTCATATATTCACCTAAAAAATGAGACTGTTGTTTACTATACCTAATTTTATGTATAGTAATTCTACAAAAAACACTTAGGTATTCTCTAGACA